GTGGAAGGGAAATGCATTTGTCACTGTTGGAGCCCCAGAACCGTATACCCACCACTGTCTGAATGTCTTCCCTAAATGTCCCCTGGCCCAAAGGTCCATGAAGTTCCCAGTTGCGCATATCACCTATCCTCTCCTGTCCCCTCTTCCTACTGATTCCCAGTTGGGAACAACTTCTGTCCCCTCAGTTCCTGGGCCAGACTCCTGGTTGGTGTATCTTCTTCACCTCTTCCCTCCCCGTCAGCCCCCCAGTCTGTCCGTGCCCAGTCCTTCCTGCCTCCTCACATTCTCTGCCCCGCCCCGTCCTTTCTGTCGGCAGGGTCCCAGCCCCAGCTCGGGCATCCCTCCCGCCCCCCCGCATCCATCCCCCACAGGGCCCCAGAGGGGACTCTCGGACGCCCAGATCTGACCATAACCCTCCATGGCTCCCGGTCACCCCCAGGAGAAAGTTCCCAGCCTGGCCTTCAGAACGCTCGTGAGCCTGGCCCCGCCCACCACCTCAGCCGCATCTTCGGAGCTCCTGGGCTCCTGTCCTCTAAGGCTCTAGGCCGACTTGACGGCTTTGCGGTCCTCCCGGAATCGCCCCCGGTTCCCTGCCTTCGAGCCTCTGCCTGCAACGCCCTTGCTGCGGCCAGCCCCCTTCTCGGCCATCCAGATCTAACTTCTCCCGGTTCTCGGAGGTCCCTTCGGCTGTCTCCAGCTGAAAGGATTCCTTCCGCCCCTGGGCTCCCACAGCCGCTGGCCTCTGGCTCTGTCATACCCCGGTCGCCCTGGATTGGAACTGTCTGCGTCTGGGGCTGTCTCCTCCATCAGACTGTGAGCTCCGTCTGCAAGGGCAGATACGGGTCTGATTCACCTTTGGGGCCCTAGTGCGGGGAGCGGGCGGGGGGACCGAAGCGGAGGGAGGAGAAGGAGGCTGGGAGGGCAGGAAGGGGGAGAGCGAGGAGGGGAGCAGACCCCGCTGCGGCTGGGGAGGGGGGGGTGCGGCGGGAGGAGGAAGAGGAGAGACACAGAGACCGAGAGACCAGGAGGAGAATGCACCGCGCAGAAGGCGGCGGCCGCGGCGAGAAGGCGAGGGAGCAGAGGTGGAGGGCGCGGGAGAAAGCGGAGAGGGGAGAGCCGGGCCGGCCGCGGGAGGCGGAGGGAGGGAGAAGTGGAGCGCGGCGCCCCGCCGCCCCGGCCCCTTTTGTCCCTTCCCTCCGCCCTGCGTCACGCTCCCGGCCGGCCTCCCCGCGTGCTCCCTCCCCCGCCCGCGCCTCCTCCCCGGGGCTGGATGGAATTTTTTCCCCTGGACC